GAGTAGCTGGAAAAAGTCTCTCTGGAAATGCTTACCGCTCTAGCATTACCACACTCCGGTTAACTACTCCTACTATTGGTTCTCTTTTTGCAGACATACTGACTGTGCTTATTTCTGGTGGCTCTGCTGGAGTGTTTGGGTGGGCCGTAGCTACTCCTATGGATGTAATTAAATCACGGATGCAAGTAGATAACTTGGGCCAGCGCAAGTACCGAGGACTCATACACTGCATCCGAGTAAGTGTGAAAGAAGAAGGAATAAGAGTTCTTTTCAAAGGACTTGGATTAAACTGCATTCGTGCTTTTCCAGTGAACATGGTGGTGTTTGTAACATACGAAGGTGTAATGAGACTTGCAGAACGTCTTATGAAGTAAAAGCATGTTACATCACTCGGTTCTAAGGTGGCTGCTTCCTTTGACTCAAACAACACTCAAACAACAGTCCACCAATGGAGGTCTTGGGTGAAATCAGTAGACTTATGGGGGAGTGAAATGCAGAATTGGAGAGAAGTGGCTGATGACTACTACATTGTGTCCATTTAGTTGTCTTGTCAAGTTGTCTCCTACTTTTGTATAAACTTGATCTAACTTGTGTAGCACCTCTCTCCACTTGGTTACCTGTTTTAGCGGAAATATCCTTACAGGCTTTGATGGACAGGCGTGGGTTTTTCTGGATCCTGCCTCAGTTCAGTAGGGTGTAACTTCTCTATTCCCATATGAATTTATTTGGCGGTGCCTCCACCCCCCTTGCTCCTTCCTGGCAGGGCAGGGTCACCAGGGCAGCTTGGAAGTAAAATTCTAACCATGGGTAACCCCCACTTACTTGCCAACTCCCAAGAAATAACACAAACACAGTAATTATATTAAACACAAAGTAAATATAACAGGGTAAAACACTACTCTCAGGGTCACCGGTGCCCACACTGATAATATCCGTCAATTTCCCCAGTCATGTGACCTGATATAGCAAATGTAAAATTAGTGTCCCATTGGTATGCGCACTTTGTAGGGGCCCTTGACCACAATATTATCTGAGCAGCAATTAGCAACTTGGCTTAGTGCAGCCCAACAGACTCTCATTTGGGATAAGGCGGTAAGCCCCTCCACAGGTTAATAGGCAGGATTTTTCCCAACAAAGCCCTCTAAACTGGGAGTTGCCTCAAAGAAAGGGCCAAGCTGAGGGATTTTGCATCCAGGTCCCCAGAGACCGGTTCTCAGGGGGAACCCTGCATGCAGGCCCAGGACTCACCAGCTCCTCACACTGCCAATCCTGTCCTTTTTGTGTCTGGCTCCAGACTGCTCCAACATAGCTCCTCCCACCTCCAGGGCTCCCGGGGCAGGCATCTCCCTTCCTATTGGTCCAGCTAGTTATTCTTCCTGAGATTGCACTTGCCAATCATTTGACTCTGCCCCCTTCCTTGCTCTCAGACACTGCCCCTTCTGCCAGCAGGCACCCTGCTGTCCTCCCCTGGACACTCAGTGTCTCTCCTCTCGCCCTCTCTGTTGCCTAGCAAAATAAAAACTGCTCTTCACTCCACTTGCGTGATTAATAAAACAAACAAGCCCACTTTTGCTATAAGTCTAACACTGTACACTGTGTATGTACCACAGATACAGGTAAATTGCAAATATACCAAGCAAAGTGTTTTTGATGTGTGAATGCTGGGATCCAGGAACTGACTGTTCTGTTTTGCTTAACGTTGCCTTGACCATGAGCTATTAATTGCAACTTTAATTATCAGAGAACTATTTCTTCTGATAAATTATCCAGGCTGAAGGCCAGTCAGCACAAGGAAGACAACACATTTGCCATGCTGATTCCCAAACATATTTTGCCAGAAACTGCAGCTGTGTAAACAAGTCTCTTTTGTAATGTGAAGTTAATGGCCTTACACTTAAAGCAGTGTTGCGGCAGAGGCCGGTCTGCTGCGTATATTTTTGTCTTGCCATTTACTTCCTGTTTCTGAGGCAATGTTCTCAACTATTGCCATGTGGTTTCCAGGATGCATCACACTAAGAAGTGAGGCAATTTAGCGAGGCTAGTCACAAGGACTATTTGTCATTCTCAGCCACCCTTCATTCTAGAGAGCCATATTTCCATTTTTGAGTTCCTCTTGTCATGCCAAACCTACTGAGACACTGCAGCAATAGCTTTCATACCCTTAACTTCCCCCACATAGTTCATCTGTAGATAGCTCTCCAGCTTTACTGCCCTGTTATGGGGCGCTGGAGACTAACTCCGAGCTCAGGTCCACCTGGCAGTATGCGGTGAACAGAACCTCTTGGGGGAACCCTTAATTCACAGAAACTATAGAGGATCCAAACTTGGGGGCAACTTCAGGCCTTGCAGACTTTGGACAAGCAGGATCTGTGAGTGACTGATCCAGTCTTCGCAAGAACAGGGAAAGGGGCTAAAAGAAAAGTGTGAAATGAAAGTAGATGCCCTCATTAAGTACCGGGAGCGGAAATGAAGAAATTAAACACAGACTTATGTCAACTCGATCCATATTTTTATTATACGGAGATGAACAAAATACCAGTAAGTCAAGGTAAAGTTTTCAACTGATCATTATCTGACAAAAGCTCTCAAGGATTTCACTGAGGCTTTTGAAGACTCTGTTCTCCCCAACCTCTGGGATTTGTTGAGTGACATTTTCCAGTGGAAATTTGAGTTTGTCAGTCTCCATTGGGAAATATTAATCATGCTGTTGCTATATGTAAACTTCAGTTTTCAGAAACATACTTTTTGTAAGCAATCACTGCAGTACTTGATTAAAGCATTATATCAGCAAACATGTTTAATTCATTCTGTTTTCACATTCTTCTAGTGCTCGCCAGCTTAAATACAAAATAATTCTGTACATCTGAGTTAAAAGTTACAGAATTGCACACTCTGTTCCCCTTTCTCCTACAGTAATGTAAGTTTATTGAAACAAATTAGGACATATAGTGCTGCACTGCTTGGGAAATCTGCACAAACAGAAGAAATTTGCATTGGAAGTTCTTCAAAGAAATGAGAAAAATATCCATAATCCCATAATACTCTACAATATTGAGAGTGTGGATCAAACAGGGTTAAAGTTGGATTGTGGGAAGCTAGAAAGGTCACCATTAAAAAGTCCACATTAATCAAACAGTTAACTTCTCACATACGGAGACATAGTGTTTCACCTTTCTAATACAGGGTCCATACCCTCTTTAAGTATGACAGGATGGAAATCAAGTTAGTTTGCCTACAGGCTGGGAAGGACAATAGATAGAAATTATTTTAATTTTTAAATACTTGGAGGTCCTCGGATACTATGGTGATGTGATGGCCTATATAAATGGGTAGCTGTTGGTAAAGTTGACTTCAGTGTACTAAACCCAGTGAGATTTTATCTGGGACATCAGGCCACCATGTTTTAGGAGAAAAAACTAAGCACTTTGTTTTGTAGCCTGTTTTGCTAACTCTTATAACCCTAAGTCAAGCACTTAGGTTAATTATTTAGGCTTGATGCTAACTGATTACACCTCATACTTTTTGCAAAGTCTGTTACAAATACTTACACATTTGGTTTCCCCTACTTGCATTACAGCTTTATTTATTTTTATTATCAACATCTTTAAGCTTCTTAACTTTTCCTAACATATAGATTATAGTTTGATTTTAGGCATAAACCTCCCAAGATCAGGTCAGGGGTGAGCGGTAGTTTTCAGCACATAAATAATGAAGTTTAAACAAGTGGTAGCAAGATCCCAACTTTAACAAGCTTCATAGTTACCTCCTGGTCCCAGGTGGACGCATGTCCACATCATACTAAAAAACCACTCAACATACTCCTGAGCAGCAGCTGCCAGTTGTGCCAAATTGTGAGACTGCAGGACCCGAGTGCATTGGCAGAATTTTGAGGATGGGAAGGGAGAAATTGTGCATTGTCTGCTAGCTCTAAGCAGGACTACTGTATTAGTCCTTCATGTTCTTATGCATTAAGGGCCTGACCTATTGAACTTAATGGAAGAGCTCCCATTGACTGCAGTGGGCTTTGGATCAGACTTTAAGTTAACCCATTAAACATCTCCCTCCTTTCCCACAATAAACCTCTGTGATGGGATCCCTGAGGTGCAGCCTGGGGCTGTGGGACCGCTGTGCCCCCTGAACTCTCTTCAGCCTGGGCTGTCTCTCACAATGCTTGGCTAGTGACCAGCAACAAACCCCTCCAGGCGCTGTTATCACTCAGCACAACTGCATGTGTAGACCCCACACCCAGCTAGATTGCATGAATGCTCCCAGAGACACTCATGAACCAGACAGAGAAAGGCACCAGAGCCGAATCCCCCTAGCTCCTAGTACTGTACCTCAGGAAAATACCGTCTTGCACTGCTCAAGACGAGCAGTGCAAATTTATTAATTGGTTCACTACTTCATCAATGGAAAGTGAATATACACCAGCCTTTGCAAACCTGAGCAGATTTGCCACAAACTCACTGGTAAAGGTAAACAGTAAAAGTAGTTTACTGACTACAAAAGATAGCTTTTAAGTGATATTAAGTGATAGGCAAAAAGTCAGAGTTAGTTACCAAAAGAAAAGAAAATATTACCCCACAGTCTAAACTCTCAACCCTATTAGATTGGGCAACATTTAAATTAAGCAGTTTTTCTCACCCCACTGGATATTGCTGTCCATAATATATAGATTTCACCCTTGAAATCTGGGCCAGTCCCCTCAGTTGGAGTCTTCAGAGTGTCCTTGTTGCTTGCAGCATAGGTGGGTGAAGGAGAAAGGCCAAGCCTGGGCCCCCTGTGTTCAGTTTTATACCCTCAGTCCATGTGCTTGTAGAACACAAGTCCAGGCATGTCTGGGGGGCATTGCTGAGTCTCCAGGCAAAGTTGAGCAATCCCCTTGGTGTGGCCTCATGCAGGTGAGTCATTGAATTGTAGCTCCCTTGCTGGACAATGGCTGTTGATGGGTTGTTTGACACCCCGCCCGGGCGTTGGTTACTTTCCTTGTTGTTGCCTCTGGAGAGCTAATATCTGGCTGATTCACCAATTTACAGCATGTTTTAGTGACAACCATACAACACAACTCTCATAACTTCACATGCATTCATGACAGAGAAATGACTTTCAGCAGATCATAACCTTTCCCCTGATACCTTACAAGGCATGCTTTATATGTAAATTATATACAGATGAGGAATATGGGGGGTTACAGGCTGCTCCCCCAAGGTACAGAATGTCACACCCTCTATCTAGTAAGGTATGAAAAAAGTTGGGAGCGTACCTTTACATAGGTAAAGGACTACTAGGGCACTGTTCATTGTACAAACACCACAGACTTTGGTATGCATGTGCCCAGGTTCTACAGTATGGAAGTCCTGACAAATTGCTTTTTCAGGGGGTTCAAACTGCCTATCACCTTTCATACCACATACATAGTTTACTGAATCAACCTCTAATGGATGGAATCTTACGAACAGTCCTAGCTACTTTCATTTCATTTTAAATGACCGTCAAATATAACAACATAACTCTGTTTTCAGTGCTCAACTGTATTTCCAATTCTATCATCCAGACAGGTATGAGTTATAAATACACATAAATTGTTATACTTTAGATCCAGTCTAACGAATAATGTTTTCAGCACTATCAAAAAATGTCAGTTGATTGTTTGTATTGCTATTGCATGTATTGCACTAAAGATTGCAAGGGTCTGTTGCTTAAAGAAATTGGACATGGAAATATTTTATGGGGTATTTCAAGGAAGTAGATTTTCTAACAAATGCACAACTTCAAAGGAATACCTCAGTCATAAGGGGTTTCTCAGCATAATCTGAGGCCTTTTAGATCCCGGTAATGAAAAAGTAATTTGCATTTCTAGAGTGTGTTCCATCTGAGGATAAAAACTTTACAAGCATTAGTGAACTTGGCCCAGTGTCTGGGGAGGGAAGTATTATCACTCCACTGTTACAGATGTAGAAATGAAGGGAGAGGAAGTTCTGTGACTTGCCAAAAGGCTGTGGCAGAGTCAGCGTGACTCCCAGTTCTCTGCTTTAGCAACAGAGATGTGTATACTCCATATCCATTTAACACTGGGAACATATTCCTGTACAATGTACCCTGAAAAACTCACCTACTGCGTATGTGCAATATGTCCCTGAGCAGCCACCATTATAACCCAGTCCATTAAGCTGAGAAACACAGGATAAAAAAAGTTGGATCTACTAAGAACTTCATTTCTTTTTGAGCTACGGACTCTTACTGGCATATCTAGAACAATTTACAAGTTAGAGTTTGGCATTACAATAGAAATTTTATTATTATATTTTAGTATTTTCAACTTAAGTACAGTAATAGGGTCCTCTGCTAATAACTAACATGGTTCGCCAAAGAATCTGGCAGCTGTCATTTGTGTTACCTCACCTAACAAGTTTTGGTTTTTTAAATACAAATATGAATAATGTCTTAACAATTCTTCCAAATAGTCACTGATCGTACACTGCAAATAACTTGTTAAGAGCAACATTTATAAAGCACTGATTGCAGCCTTTGCATAATTAAGGAGTGATGACACACAACAGAAAACAATTCAGTCTATTTCCTACCTATTGATAAATTACATCTACATCATTAAAAATTGAATGCCAGTTTCCGTGGAGTCATAAATTGTTTCACCATTTCATCTGTGATCTGTTTGCGTCTCTGTTGATGAGCTGCTACCAAGGGCTGTAGTGTTTCAATAAGCACCTTCTTTAGCTCTCCTGTGAGCAGTGCTCCGCTTGTGTAAGCCTGCCAAGAAAGTGTCAGTTGTTAAAAACTACTCCGGTAATATGGAAAAGAGCCTCAATGTTGAGCAGAATCTCTTTAAAAGCACAACTGGCAAATAAAGATTTGCATGTATATTAAAATTATGTACGTCAGAAGATCACCTGATATCACACTGGTAGTGTAATCTGCAACATCACTCACTGATTTTTAAAGGGTTTAGCAACACAGTACAGCAAGTTTTTTTATTTAACATGCTTCTGTGAGTAAACTAAGTGAGCAGAGTTTTAACTTGAAAATCCAGTTACAGTAAAAGCTGTTTTACCTTGCAACACCGGCTACAAAAGTGCCATGTGAACACCTGTTCTCACTTTCAGGTGACATTGTATATAAGAAGCAGGCAGCAGTATCTCCTGTAAACTTGTTTGTCTAGCGATTGGCTGAACAAGAAGTAGGACTGAGTGGATTTTGTAGGCTCTAAAGTTTTACATTGTTTTGTTTTTGTGTGCAGTTATGTAACAAAAAAATAAAAATCTACATTTGTAAGTTACACTTTCACGATAGAGATAGAGTACTTGTATGAGGTGAATTGAAAAATACAATTTCTTTTGTTTTTCATTTTTACAGTGCAAATATTTGTAATAAAAATAGTATAAAGTGAGCACTTTACACTTTGTATTATGTGTTGTAATAGAAATCAATATATTTGAAAATGTAGAAAAACATCCAAAAGTATTTAATACATTTCAATTGGTATTCTATTGTTTAACAGTGCAATTAATTTTTTAATCGCAGTTAATTTTTTTGAGTTAATCACGTGAGTTAACTGCGATTAATCGACAGCCCTAATATAAATATAAACATGTCAAAAGTTGTGTTTGTCCATAAGGACTATCAGCATCTGAAATAAACTTGTCACTAGCTTTAAAAGCTACAAAGGGTTTAGAGACATTGCACACTACGTAAGTAGGGTTAATATGCACAATATTCTTAAAACTTTATGAAAACATATAAAAAAAGCCAAACAAAGTAGCATCGTTTAAAAAGGGGTAGAGGGAGGGAAGAGATCCTCCTACACAAGACCCCATGAAAATATATGGGGTTTGTCGTTTCCCACTTTTTATAAAGAAAAAGAAAGTGATACATGTGAGGAGAGAATGCCACAACCATCACACACAAATCTTGATCATTTGCAGGGTTGAACTAGGATAGAGAAACCCATAAAAAGGGAGGATATAGCATTAAACCATGGATATCTTCCATGAGGAGGTTCAAATAGGAGGTTTTGATTGTAGCCGGGTCCCTCCTCATGAAAAGACGAATAGTAATGATCTTTAAGTTGGCTCCTTACCTGCTTCATTTTTTCAAGTTTGTCATCATCTTCAAGGAAGAAGGTGAGATACATGTAAGAGACATCAACCTCACAGTTACCCCCATACTTCCTGTGTTCTTCAATAGTATCTTTACCTCCAGAGAAGGCATGCTTGTTGATCTAGAACAACATAATTATTTGATGGTATAACTTCTGTCAAATGGGGATTACACTGTAAACAGTTGATATGGAAGGGCCATAAGCACTTTTATCAACATTACATACAAAAAAAAAAAATCTACCTTAAAGACTAGTTGAGGTGCAAGCAGGAGCAGATTTGTGCAGAGCCTTAAAGGCGAGGGAAGAAGCCTGATCCTGATGCAGAAGGTAATGGGAGGACATGACTAGGGGAGTGACAAGCTGTGAGCAGCAGGACAAGATGATGATACACACAATCAACCCATAAACTGCTCCCTTAGGTCTAATTAAGTCGCAGCAAGAATTTACCCAGATTTTCATGAAGAACACCTAGTCCTTTCTGCGGCAGTTGTCACCATTTGTAAGGAAGGCTATGTATTATTATTATTATTGCACAAAACTATCTTCATACAAACAAAAGCAACATTGTTAGGTATATCCTATATTCACCTCACTGAGAAATTAACTTTGAAGGAGAATGGAGTGGAGCGGACAGATTTTAGGGAGGTTAGAGAGAAAATAAAACTGGTAGGATTTAGCAACTATCAAGAGCGACAAGAGACGGAGAAGAGAGGAGCTGAAGATAACAATGGCCAAGGCTGGAAAGAGAGAGTGTCCAGCACCTTCATTTTTGCTATTTGCCCTTTTCCATTTTTTTCTGTTTACAGACAAAATCCTGTTTGGGATTTACTGTATTTGCTATAACTCGGAATTCTTAGTCATATTTGAATCTTGCTAAGAGCTGGATCTTAAATGATATCTTGGGGCAATGAGTTTCATGGGCTAATTATTCACTGTCTGAAAACGTAAACATTTTTTTAAATCAATTTTGAATTTGCCACCTTCCAATTTCATGGAATGTCCCCTTGTTCTTGTGTATGAGACAGGCTGAACAGCGGCTCACAATCTGCCTTTTCTAGAACACTCATTATTTTATATACTTTATCAAGACTCCACTCCTCTGCACCTCCACAGTAAGGCAAACAATTCCAGTCTTTTGACTCTTCAAATGAGAATTTTCTCATGCTCTGAATCGTTCATGTTTCCAATCTCTGAATCTCATCTAATTGTGCAATATACTTGCTGAGAAGGGATGACTAGTACTGAAAGCAGAATTCCAGCTGAGGGCATACCGTTGTTTCATATACTGATATAGTGTATATAATTCTTGCCCTCATTCCTTAAGCGTGCAAACATCGTTTGTTTTTTTGACTGCTTCTGCACATTGAGCATAGGGTTTCATTGAGCTGTCCACAATGATGGTCTTTTTCCTGAGCTGATGAAGTTAATTTCAAATCCAGTTAGAGGTACAAGTAGTTGAGATTATTATGCTTTATATGCATCAGCAATGAATTTCATGTACCATAGTGTTGCCCATTCACCTAGCTTGGTTAGATCCCTCTCAAGCTTCTCAGTCTTCCAGTCTTGACTAACCTAATTAGCTTGTTCCATCTGCAAGTTTTACCACCTCACTGCTAATACCCTTTTCCAGATCATTAATAAAGTTATTAAAAATCAGTTCTAGTACAGAATCTTGTGGCACTCTGCTGTTAATCTTTTGCCATGATGGAAATTTGCCATTTATTCCTACTCTGTTTTGTCTCTTAGCCAGTTTTTGATCAACAGACAGTACTTTGCCTTTCTCTCCATGACTTCTTAATTGCCTCTTGGAATGGACTTTTTCAAAGGCCTTTGAAAGTTTAAATGAATATTAATTAGTTTTCCTTTATACAAAATTTTACTGAGATGTTTAAAAAATTCTATTCTAAGCCATAATTTTCTTTTATAGAAGAAATGCCTATCATATTGTGATCTGGTGTTTATAATTCTACCTTTAATTATTGTTTCAACCAGTTTACTGGGTGCAGAAATAGGATTTATTGGCTTACAATATCTTGGATTGCCCCTAGAGTATATTTGATATCCTCCAAGAGACTGTAGGTAAACTACCAATATTGTATTTAAATGAATATCACTATTTTAAAGCCAGGGATTAGAGTTTTTTTCCTCCCCCAATAAAATAGAAGAGTTAATCTACCTACTTAAAACAAAACTCTGCATAATTGTGGAATTCTTCAAACACAAATGCAAGAGGACACAATGCTGAAGTCGTAATTATAATTCTTAAACAAATACTGCTTCCTCAAGACACACCTAGCAGTTCATATGCAGGACACTAATTGTTCACAGAAAAAAAACATGCCAAAGATCCTAGCTGCTACATTCTGTGACAGTTTGTCAAACATATTAGGAATGCTGCCTAACCAGCTAGAAGACACAACAAATCTTTCCCCTGCTTTGACCTACAGTGAGCCCCACCAATCAATACATGGGCTGAACACGCCTTTTCTGAACACTCAACTTTCTATGTACAAGGAGGTTTACCTACTTGTAGATACTCAACCCCTAAATCAAGGGTATCGTATGCCTAAAAGTCAGGGTTCCTCTTGTCTAACTTCATAACTTTTTCAGAATATTCTAAAGATGACTCATTCTTATTGCAAATTCCACAGTGCACCATGTCACATGCAACAAACCTAGTCTAATTTAGTCTAGTAATTATGAATGCCTGATTTTCTTTAGGATTAAGAGTAGTTATGGGGATGCACTGGAGAGGAGATAGATACTCTTTTTAAAACCAAAGAGAAGGTTAATGTAATATTTCTGTTCACAGACTAATTAGCTGGAGAAGTGCATGGTAGCAGCAGATCCACTGAGCCGCAGTGAAAGCTTGGCCTGCCTAGCAACTGTCACTGTGTAACACAGTGGTATTTGGTGCCATGGAGTAGTCAACAGGGAACAAGAGCTCTTCGTTTGATTTACATCACAGGTTGTCAGTCTTTAAAATTACAGAAACCTGCTGTGTATTTGTAGAGACAGGACATTGACAGACTTATTCTCATGGCAAAGCTCTGCAGACACCAGGTGAACAAACAGGATGTTTAGTACATTAAATATTATTCTGGTAGTATAGCTGACAGGGCAAAATATCAGACTAGGTTAGTTATGTTTGTCTCACTTGGTCGATCTCCGAAGGTACATTAGAATAAATTACAAAAGGAAAAAGGATGTGGATATGTTTAAAAAAATGGTCAACAAAACAAAAAAGGAGGGCTTATTGTAACACTCAAGCAAGTTACTCCATTGAATATAGTGCTGTATATATTTTCATATTGAGTAGGTTCTTACCTTTGTCTTGATCTGCTTGGGTGTGTCAGTGAGGAAGATGGAGGAGTTGGGGTCACTAGCACTCATTTTTGTCTGTGCTCCTTGCAGTGCTGGGAAGAAGATCGAATGCAATAAGGCTGGTTTAAGATATCCAATCCTCGGAGCTACATCCCTTGTCATTCTAAAATAAGGATCCTAGAACAACCACCAATAAAAGCCTTGAATAAAATTGAATATACATAGTTCAGAACTGTTTGATTACAACTCATCTGGTTCAGGTTCCAACCAGTGACAAAATGTCTCATAGCCCATTTCCAATCCCCTTTGAAAAATCCCTTCTGATATCTCCAGTTTCTTTTTAGAGCCCATCCTTTCATAACAAACCGTGCAGTTTATTTAAGAAGAAACTGTGTGAACTTGGCACTTATGAAAATGAAGTTTGACTGCCCAGGAGACAGAAGTCTGCCATTTATCAACAGGACACTTAAATTCTGGGCAAGAGCAGTGTAAGCTTCTTATCAAAAGGACCCTGGCAACATACACAGCTTGTAAATTAGAGAAACCTCCTCCAGGATGGAGTAGGTAGTGCTGCCTTCATGCCTGTTAGTTTCTTGATTTCTAACAAGACTTTCAACAAGGGAACCAATAGCAGTGGTTTTACAATGTGGATGTGTGACACAGGGCCAGAAAGGCTTGCACAACTAGCAGGCTAACTGACCCAGATTCAACCTTTAGAGACATATTAGTAAATAATGTTTGTGTTTTTTGTGTGTTTACATATATATTGTTAGAAGTTGACAATGTAACCAAATGGTTCCTGTCTTTCGCTGTATTCTGTTGATTTGGAGAGCAAAAGGAGATAAATAAGCTATGAATGTAGTAATATCATCGTCCTTATTTCTCTTTGAAGTTTGTAGTCAACTACCTGTAAATGGCTGAAGATGGGTAATTACCTTATATTAATCTATGTAGCTAATTACTGGTGGTGCTTAGGCAATAGGAGGTTACTTCAAAGACACCATTCTTCACCCAAGGAACACCTGCTGTCAAGGGATCTATAAAAACTCTTGGGCCCTGACCCTTTCATCTCAGATCTGCTTAAGCTTCATCAGGGGAAGTTTGAGTCACAAGACTGAGGTCTTCAGTTCCATTCTAGATCACCCTGATATTGGACATTGGAGTATAACCTGATGAACTGATTCTGGAAAGGACTCTTTGCAACTCTAAAGCTCACGATCTCCACTAGAAACTGACCTAAGAATTCATACCTGTATATATAATGCTCTTTTAACCAATACTCTCTCTTTTCTTTTTAAATAAATCTTAGTTTAGTTAATAAAATTGGCTGTAAGCGTGTATTTGGGTAAGATCTGAAATATTTATTAACCTGGTGGGTAATGTGTCTCATCCTTTGGATTAGTAAAACTTTTTATATGATGCCACAAGATTTTCAGTAATCCTCCTCATATTTGACTTGGCTGTCTAGGTGGGAGTTCCAGGCTGGGTTGCTTTACGGGAACTGTGTTTTTGTATTGTAGAAGCTGTTTTGTTGCTGGTTTGGTGAATCGAAGTATAGAATAACCACCAGTTTTGGGGACTGTCTGCCCCATACTTTGCAGTTTGCCCTAACTGAGCAATCACAGTGTGGCCCCCTGGGGCCCCGGTCACAGGATGTAAATGCAATAGCTTGGTGCATGTAATCATCTTCTAGCAGCTGTCTCCAATGACTATGGGCTTGTCTACATGGCACAGCCATGTGCACCAGAGGGGTGTATTTTCTGGAATGCATGAATGTGCTGTGCACTAACTGGACTGAGTTGACCCAGCGCACACAACACTATGTTTGTGCATGCAAGTAGGGTGAACACAGGCCAGTTCATGCTCAGCACATTAGTGCACTTTAGAAATCAGACCCTTCTAGTGCACATTGTCATGTCATGTAGACAAGCCCTACGAGAGCCTTATGGCTAAGTGGCTCAGGGAAGCCTATGCTTTTGGTGCTGAAGGCATGGGCAGAGACAACCTGTACATGCCTGTACATGTATATCACTCCTGGGGGAATTCTGCACCAAAAATTTTTAAATTCTGCACACAATATTTTAAAATTTTGCATATTTTATTTGTCAAAATAACACAATATAATCATGCCAATTATTTCAATTATTTTGGTAATTTATTTAAACTAAACTACAATGGATGGAGAATGGGGAGCGTTGGAGGATATCCCGAAACCTCTTTTGTCTAATGGTAATGTAGCTAGGTTTGACTCTTTATTTCTAGTTATTAGTCAACAAATATATGCGCTCAGTATTACATCATAGGCAACTGAAGAGCAAGTGAGTGCTGGGGTATCAAACTCACAATTTATATTGGCTACTAACCATCTCCAGAAAGGTCAGGAGTAAACAGTTCATAGAGCATATTTTGATTGGAACATTTTTCAGTCCAAAAATTTAGACCAGTTCTAAATTTAGACTATAAGCATTTATAAGGCCATACTGTCCTTTACCCCTCTGGCAATGTAAAGGAGCCTTAAAACTTTTACGCAGTCTGCTACATTCTGCTCTGCCTGAGGGGACTGAGCCTGTCCCATGCCTACCTCCTCAGAAACATCCCGAAGCCTTGCCACCCACGCCGGGCATGCTGTAATAGCAAGCAAGAGGGACAGAGCCTCTCTTGTTCGCCCGCATATACCCCCTCTCCCCCTCCCGGCGTGATTGACATCTCCCCATGCACGCATACCAGCCCAGCCCAAGGGGTGATTTACATCTCCGCTGGCTGCCCCGGGCACCCAAACTGACATGCCCATGCTACTGGGGCGGGGGAGTGGGGGAGGGGGGCATGATCATTCTTGTGGATTCCCTTTGCTTCCCCATCAGAAGACATTTTTCTGCAGGGAAGCAAAGAAATCTGCAGGGGGACATGAATTCTGCACATGCGCAGTGCTGTGGAATTCTCACCCATGAGTAATATATAGTGTGGTCTAGTGGAAAGACCACCAGACTACAACTCAGGAGACATGAGTTCTATTCCAGGCTCTGCCACTGACATGCTAGGTGATCTTGGGGAAGTCACTTCTCTTTCCTGTAGCTCAGTTTTCCCATCTGTAAAACAGGGATAATGATACTGACTTTGTAGTGCTTTGAGATCTGTAAGAGCCACATGTGGCCATTGTACATTCATGTACACTTGCACACTAGGGACTAGTCTGATATCATGACAGGTTCAAGACTTAATGGGAATCAGTATGAAATTAGTAAAGTGCCTACTGGGCTGATACAGCCTGTATTATTCCTATCAGGACACAGTATAAGACCTAACAATATCCTCAGGCTTCTGCCTGAGGAGATTGCCTGTGAGAAGGATGTTTTCTATTTTTTTAGTCACTTAACAAAAGTCTGATGGGTGCATTTTAAAAATCCCAAAATAAAATACAATAATTTCTAACCTGATCAATGGCACATGGAATAAGACACTGAATGTCTTTCTTGTCCTTGAAGATTTGTGGAAATGATGAGCTAAAGGATGGAGCAGCTTGGATAGCAGGAAAACTGATCTTTCCTAGAAAAGAACACATTTTAGAACATTTTTATTTACCCCTTTCCAGTTCAATTACATCCAACACACACATCTTTAACACTACAGTAAGATAATTAAGAACTGTATTATAGAGATGTATTTAGTCTATCACCACATAGAAAAGTGAATTATTCGGTTCAGCAAGATGAGAATAGCTGTCTTTCTAAAAGGTATGTTTTAATCCACCTTCTGTGAATAATTCTGCAGCCTGTGTGAGGGTGAGGCGTTAGGCTGGCCCCTTCTGGCTTTGAAATCTGTGAATCGCCCTATTCATTCCCTTCTTTCACAGGCCATGGGGAGAACAGAAAGCTCTGCACTGCCATCAATATGCTCATTCTACATTAAGACAGTAACTATCATCAAATCTCATGCTTCAGACTTTTCCAAAGATGCCTTTTGCCGTCTTCAGGAGAGGCACAGGAGATGAGGTGTATGACCTCCTTGCCCGTCCCCCATGACAAAGATTCATGGCCCAAATCAAAGAAGGGCAATGGTAGATTTCCCCAAACTGGAAAAGAGTGCTCAGTGTCCTCACAGAGCATAAATAACAGTGGCTGTTTATAACAAACATGTTTTTTTCTATCCAGATCCCAGCCAATATGTGGGAATCACATCCCAGAATGTAACAACATATTCTGAGAAGCTACAAGAGAGGCCTGACCTAGTAGTTCAAGAACAAGGCGGGAACCAGGAACTCCTGAGTTCCGATCTCATATTTGAGCCCCAAACCATTTGGAGCCTTATTGTGAGGGTTGTTAAGGACCTACAACCGTGTCAACAGAAGCTGCGGCTGCTCAGCACCTCTGAAAATAAGGTCTTTAGGACTTTATTTTCCCATCTGAAAAATATAGATCGTATACCTAGAATTTATCCTGAAAAAAAAAAAAAGAAGACAGACTTGGAAAATTCATTTAAGGTAGAAAGTGCAATAGAAGTGTTATTATTAAGTATTAGTTGTAGCAGTGAATTACACAAAGAATTACTCTCTGCACTGTGGACATTGCATGCACATCAACAACTCCTGTATTTCATACTTCATTGCCATCAAGGCCATAAACAGCAGCCCTTACACTGGGAAAACTTACAGTGGTAGCTAAAGGTGTTTTGCCTGAGTAAGGACTCCAGGACTACGTCCTACGTGAGCAGTTCAAAATATTAATATTTGTGCTTCTCCTGTCAGTTTTTCCAATAAGCAGCAGGTGCTAGTCTGTTTACACAATCAAGGTGCCTTTGGTATCACACACAGTGCAAACAGCAATCCTTTCCAGTAACTCATATTCATACTCTTACCAATGCAATCACTGTCTGTAAAGCCAAAGATTCCCTTCACTTGGTTAAATGTAACATGCTTCTGAACCTTTACAACGTTCTTGTAGAATCCTGAACTCATCCTGTAAAAAACGGGGGAGGGAGTCAAAGGGAGATAATTTTGTGTCAAAGAGGGTAGACTACATTTCTGTAATAACATCTATACAACATGGTTAGACTGTCAGACCACCTTAGAAGCACTGCTTCCTAGTATTTATTAATACATTTAGAACATAATTTAAAAAAAACCAAGATTAAATAATTTTGGAAGTTTATATTCTTTCTCCGCAAGCTTACATACAAGTGGTCAGTAGGGCTGGTCAAAAATGTTCAGCCAAAACTGGTTTTCAATGGAAAATTGGGTTTTTAACAAAATGAAGTGTTTGCTTTCTGTAGAAAATTTCAATTTTTTGTAAAAACAAAACAAAACAAAACAAACAAAAACAAAAACAAACAAACCCCAAATGCCTGAAAAATCAATATATTTTGATTTGGAAATACTAGTGAGGTGCCTCATGGGAATTGAGGTTCAGATGCATCCTGTCCTTGTTCTCCTCCATGGGCTGGGATTCCTGGCAGACTAAAGCTCCTATGATGCACCCTGGCCAGGGACTTCTATGATGCATCTCCTCCCTCTTCAAGAGAGAGACTGTGTTGTATCATGGGAGATCCCAAGTCAGGCTGGCCAATAGGGAAAAGGAGCTTGACGCACCTGAACTACAACTTCCATGAGACACTGTAGCAAGATACCCAGAGAAACCCTTCTTCACGAGAACAGGCTTGGAAGTTCTTTTTGCTACATGAAAAAAAAAAAGAAACAAACAAAAAAGAAACTCTTTTTCCTCCAGGGAAGCAGGAGGAGGTAAGGCTAGTGAAAACCTCCAACACAGTCCACCAAGTCACCAAGCCCTCCCTGAACTATCATAGTTTTTAAATGTCGGTCATCATCATGGTATCTGAACACCTAACTGACACTCCTTCCCTAAGCATACAAGAGTACATTCTTCTTCTCTTCTGGAAGATCTATATATCTTCTGAATAATTTTATATTAATTATATAAATTTTATATTACACCTTTACCCCGATATAACGCTGTCCTCGGGAGCCAAAAAAATCTTACCGCGTTATAGGTGAAACTGCGTTATATCGAACTTGCTTTGATCCGCTAGAGTGCGCAGCCCCGCCCCCCCGGAGCACTGCTTTACCGCGTTATATCCAAATTCGTGTTGTATCGGGTCGCGTCATATCGGGGTAGAGGTGTAATTATATTGAATAATCTGAATTAATTTTATTAAAAGTTGGCTTGATTTTCAGGTCTCATTAAGACATAAAACCTCAGGTTTCACTTGAAAATTGCACACTTTGTTGTGTATAAGTTTGTGTAAGAAATTCAAATTTGTGCTGTATTTATAAATAATTCTAAGAAGAGAGCCCATATTTTATATGCACAGGCACAAGGAGGCAGAGTTAGGCCATGACTACGCTAGTGAGCTCATAGCGGCACAGCTGTGCCAATGCAGCTGCACTGCTGTAAAATTACTTGTGTAGCCACTCTCCCGTCGACATAATAAATCCACCTCAACGAGCGGTGGTAGCTACGTTGGCGGGAGAAGTTCTCCTGCCGATATAGTGCTGTGCACAATACCACTTATGCTGGCAAAACTTATGTTGCTCGGGGTGTGGTTTTTTCACTTCCCTGAGCGGCATAACTTTTGCTGACGTAAGTGGTAGTATAGATATGGCCTTGATGTTAACTTTTCAACATTTACTCTAAATTTCTTGAGAGTGTATGATTTTTTTCCCCTTAAATGTACTAAGTATACAAGCTTACAAAATGCACTACAAGCAAAATATACCTGTTCTTTGATGATAAAGCTTTATGAATTTTTAATTCACTTTCCCTGGAAAGAAGATTAACGGACACTCAGCTATAACCTTACACCCTTGGGAACATTTCTCAATAGCTGCAGATGCATGAGAGTATATAGAAGTACTGCAGCCCCAGCAACTGCCACTCAGCAGACATTGCTGCTATTTCTGTTCAAGGCTAAAATAGGTCTCCAAATATACTCCAACATGTTTGTACAACAGGAGTGTGTCTGTACATATGGTATGGGTGGAATTTTCAGATGCAGTTTGTGTTGGTCTAACTCTGCTCCCATTGAAGTCAATGGGAGTACCATTAACACCAATAGGAGCAGAGCTAGGCCAAAGTTGAGTGCTTTGAAAATCCCTCCTTATACATTTTTTTGAAATTGGCAGGCAGGAGGAAATTAACTAATTTATTAGAGATATTTCAAAATCTTGTTAATTAATCTGAGATTGGAGAGTTTGGAACTTCTCAGCTGCTTTGTTCTTCCTCATAACTAGATGCCATTTCTACTGCCATTAAAATGTTCAATCAATATAAAATACCTGAGGTCTTATGACTTGGAGGCTCCCAAACTGGCCTGGATCTCTCAAAGCATTGATCCTATATATGTAGTTTTGTTCTTTTGTTTTATAAAAACAAGTTTTAAAATATAAATTAAAAAAAAAAAAAAAAAAAAAAAAAACACTGAAAAAAGATAAAAATGCTACATTATTACAATATATTCCTTTGCCCCTTGTTTCAAAACTTGTTTTATTTCCTGCAAACTCTACATAGAAAAAAAGTTTCGTAATAATACTCTTGTGAGTATTTTTATTCACATGGCTAGTCTCACTGAAGTCAATGGGACCATTTTCACATGGGTATGAGCTACTCAGGTAAGGAAGATTTGCAGGATGGGGCCCGTACGAGCAAATTATGCACAGTATTTCCCCCTCCTCTTTAATGAGGTGAGAGACAACACCATGGGGGAAAAAAGGGGAAGTGCTGGCTCTACAGCATACTCCCTTGTCCCGAGGTCTCCATGGAAGTTCCTTATTCTCATCAGTTTAAGTGAGAGGAGAATCAGGACCATGACTTCTAAAGTTTCAATCTCTTCTATGGGGGTTTCTTCCTTTTAAGCAGGCAACCATGATGGCTGCTTCTTTTTAAACGGCAAGAATCTTGTGGATTTGTATTAGCAGCACACCCTTACTGGACGTTAAAACGTGAACCATTTAAGTTCTATTACAGTCATAGATCAACATGAAAGTAACTTGTTTATCCCAAACAGAAAAAGAACACAGCCCAAAAAAGCTATGACATGAGACTATAAAGACATCTGAGGTTTTGATAGCATCCTAAACAAATGAAGCTTCAGTCTTGATGTTACCAGGCCTATGTACTCTCAGTTATTTTTATAATATTCTCTTTATTACATACTTATATTAAATATATAAAATATGATGTATATTTTATGTTGTTATAAATACACACACGTTCATACATTGCAAAGAATATATTATAAACATGGACAATAAGGTACTGTGTTAAGTAGTGCAAAAATTGCCTGGAAGGTTTCAGATCTAGATACATTAGTCAATGTGTTTATATTGCTGGCTGTTGCAAGATCACAGAGATTATCTGAAAACTTTTGATCATGAGGTTTTATGAATTCTTATAACCTTACCCCAAGTAGTCAAGATCAGAAAAGATAAAGGTTTTATTGATGTCAAAACCACAGGCTATGATGTCCTTTGCATTTTCTATAGCATATTCATAAGCTTTCTCAATTGTCAGATCTTTCCACAGGTATTTCTCATCATCAGTCAACTGTATAACCAAGGGAACATTAAATACTTCTTGCAGCCACCTAATAGAAATAAAAATATTTTATTTTGTAGAACAACTTAAAGCAAATGGGTTGCACAGCCAAAATATTTAAATGAATTCAGGCAGTAATAAAGTTAAGGGGCTTGATTCTCCACTGCTTTGTACATATGCTTATCTAAAATGGATGGAAAATTCTACCAAATCAGAGTTCTCCAGTCACTCGCCTCAGGACTAGTGTTTTACATGCATGTGCCACAGATGTAAATGGTTACCCAGAGGAGTGGAGAATCAGACTCAAGGTTTCTGATGCTATGTTAGTGACCATACTGTACTTTTTGCCTCTTTGATACCTATTTAACAAGAAAAAGAAGAATGGAGAAGAATGCGTATGTGACATGTGGGAGAGGTAACAGTGGTGAAGGGACAGCAATAGACTTGCTTTAACCAGGCCACTGTAAGAGTTTCATGAACAAGATTTTTGCATTTAATTTTATATGCAGCTGAAGTAACATAGATAGTGGGTATGATGTACAGTTTTTATAGCTCTAAATACTGTTCAATATGTCCGATGAGAACCAAATATTTGTTTAATAACAAACTAGCAACTTAGAGGTAGAAGCTACTTACTTTGTGAAAATAAATGGGATAAGATGACCAACATGCATTGCCTCTGAGGAGGGGCCTCTACCTGTATAAAGGTAAAAGGGCTTCTTATTTTCATATGCATCAAGAATTTGGTTCATATCTCTAGAAAATAAAACAGAGGAAACATGGTGTGACGTATAGAATTTAACCAAAGAAGACCAATGTAGGTAAATAAATTAGCTCTACAAGGAACAGCTGGCAAGCTACAGTAAAAATTTTGAATAGGAAAGTGAAAACTTTTGAATGCAAAATGTATTCACAAACCAAATATAGTAACTTAAAAAAGTCTTCATATATAGTACACTTCATAAAAGTTATTTTAAAAAGAGAAGGTATTGGTTGAGCACATTTAAAAGATTCAGTTTAAAAAAAAGCAAAACAGAATTATTTAATAGAAAAATGTAGGCCCTGTATATGCACTGTATGATAACAAATTAAGGCCCCAAATGTCTATTGGGATCAAATGATGTGGACCCATGTGTCCGTGTTGAGTCTCATTGAAGTCAACAGGGACTCTGCATGAGCATGGAGGTCTATGCCAACAGATCCCAATACAGAATTGGGGCCTAAGCATATGGCCATGTTTGGAAATTATACTGTATTCAACACTTGAAAATGTTCACTCTTGGAATGATAACTCTTTTCCCCTACCAACAAACAAAACAAAACACAGCACAACAAAAACCCAACTCCTTCCCCGCCCCTCTCATTTCCTACAACCATACAAAACATTCTTTCAAAGTTATGCTGGAGCCCAAGCAGATTTATTTCTCCAGATAGTTTATAATACTCCTCCTGAACCCAGTTCTGTTGTTGCTACATATGTGGAACTCTCACTGAAGTCAAAGAGAAGCCAGTGCATGGGGAACCGCTGAATCAGACACTTTGATACTGGCAGCTTTCGAACCAAAACCTGCACACCCCCCTGATTACTTAACATGGTCTAATTTAAAAAAAAATGCACATTTTTGACCTCGCTCACATTTTCCTTAATGACTAAAATGGATGCAAACAGTTTTTGCATAGGTAAGATCATTTAAAAATCAACTCCTATCATGGCCATGAATCATGCTAAAATAAAAATGCAATTTACTTTTTAGAAAGCTTTTAACTTTTTAGTACCTAACTTCAAGAGGACCTATGACACTTCAGAACTTCTAGGATTTCTCCCTAGACTTCACATTTCAAAAGAAACTGTTCTTTGTTAAATCAGTGAGATGAAAGAGTACTCATACTCTTAACAACTGTATTTCCACTTGATATCTTCCATGTTATTCATTTATTCAATCACGAGTCCTTACACAGAAAGTGCCCTCTCTCATTATACAAGGCTGAATGAGTAAGAGGATGAAACAGCAAGGGTTCCCCATGCATTTTTCCCCCAAACTTCCCCTACTTTTTGGGAGCCAGGTTTTGCTTCCCAGTGATGAAATTGTAAACCAGGAATAACTTCATTAATTTCAAGCACTTTATTCTGGGTTTTTGATTTGGTGTAAATGAGAGTAGAATATGGCTCTCTGTTGGACACAGGATGCTCCCGCCGAGATTAATGGAAATTGCATGTATCCTGATCCATACATTTTTGTGTTTACTTGTCTCTGGGTATTACCAGAGGATCAAAAAGAAAACCTCACCCACCTATGAGAAAAAAAGATGCCTCTGCGCAGAAAGTGGTGAGGTGTTTTTCCAGTAACTCTCTCTATTCGATTGATTAGCTCTTTATCAATTTTACTGCTTCCAAATCGAACTGAAAGAACAAATGCACAACAAATTATATACACTGCTAGCTAAAACCCACTCATGGATTTAAACAGAACATATTGCTTAGGCACAATGGCAAAGAAATATAAAATCAGAAGCATCGATCAAAAAGAATCTGGGTAGTGGTTAACTAATGTGCTTGTAAAGCATACAAACATCTGCTTGTTCTTGTCACTGTTAGCAGGCAAATGCACCTCTCACCTCTCCTGGTCACATCAAGTGCACCCTCTCCTAGGTCTCAGACCTCTAGCCACCACGTGGAGTTGTGTGATTCTCCTACTTTAAGACTAGGTCCTGGGTTGCAATCCTTGGTACTAACCATGATTATCTCAGCAGGCCTGACTTATCCTCAGTGCCCACAGTTCTGTTCCCTCTGGAAGCAATGATAATGATTAATACAGTGACCAAGAAGCCTCCTTTAAGCCAAGTATTTATTTAGAACAAAAGTGTTTCAAAGAAAACAGATCTTAAAAACAGTCAGATAAGACTGTAAACATATTAGTTGTTCCCTAAAGTTTACCATTCCCTGGATCTAGAAAGGCCCAACTTTTTCTGACTCCCTCTGCAGTCTCTCTCTGTGCCAACCTGTCTCCCTAGACAGCTTCTGATAACTGACTGCCCCTTCGCTCCCTGAGAAGGGCTTTTAGCTGTTTATCGTTCTTTTGATTTCCAGGCACCTCGTTTTTGCCAAAACAATTTACTGGGGACACTATACAGGTTCCTTGAAGCTAACAGCGTGCCCCATTTTCTTGCGAGTCTGTGCTTGAGGCTGTTTATCAAGATCTAGTGTGCGGCTTTCCTGTCTCTTCCCACAGTGCTCTTATTAAGTTAGATCAATGCATTCATAAAGGAAATTCTAATAACCCGCCGTGTTTATACAGTAACTTTACCTCACTGACCAGATTACTTACAGCATTCATGACATTATTACATATCAGTATTCATAGATTAATATATAGCACCTTCTCATCCATCACAGTTCTCCTCTCCTTAAACTACAAATCCTACAGAAGCTTTCCTGCAAGGTGCTTCCGTGAAGAAAATCTTCATTCCTTCCTAGTAAGTGCCCTTGAAACCTGCATGTAGTTTCTACAGTTTGGGTATGCAGGTCTGTGCATGTTCAAGACAACTATGTGAGAAAAAGGATATTCCACTGAATTATACCTTATTTCTTGGCACTTTGGTTTCTTCTGTCTAAAGTAAACATGAGTATTATGTCCAGTTTTGGGTGCCACAATTTACCAAGCATGTGGATAAACTGGAGAGAGTCCAGAGGAGAGCAACAAAAATGATCAAAGACATAGAAAACCTGACAAATGAGGAAAGATTAAAAAAAACAGAATATATTTACTCCTGAGAAAAGACAACTAAGGGGGGACCTGATAAAAATCTTCACATATATTAAGGGCTATTATAAAGAGGACAGAGCCCAATTGTTCTCCACACTTGACTTTATCTGCAGCAATGAAGATTTAGGTTAACTATCAACAAGAATTTCTAAATCTTAAGGATAGTTAAGCCCTGGAATAGGCTTCCAAGGAAAGAAGTTGTGGAATCCCTGTCAGTGGAGGTTTTTAAGAACATGTTGGACAAACATCTGTCAGGGATGGTCACTCTAAAGTTTACTTGGTGCTGCTTCAGAGTGCAGGGGAAGGACAAGGTTACCACTCCAGGTCCCTTGCAGCCCTACCTTTCTATGATGGGACTGGTGGCTATCTCCAATAGTGCTGGGGGGGAGGGATAGCTCAGTGGTTTGAGCATTGGCCTGCTAAACCCAGGGTTGTGAGCTCAATCATTGAAGGGGCCACTTAGGGATCTGGGGCAAAATCAGTACTTGGTCCTGCTAGTGAAGGCAGGGGGCTGGACTCAATGACCTTTTGGGGTCCCTTCCAGTTCTAGGAGATAGGATATCTCCATATATATAATTATTATTATATAGATGTGACATTATGCCCCTATATTCTTCATAGAAATATTGTTATGATATGAATATGGCATAACTAAGATATGTTTCATGCAAGATGGGTCATGTGAGGTATCATTGAAAAGGTTATAATTTACTGAATGTAATTATCCAATTTGTATGCATGTATCATTTCTGTACCTGACTATGTAACAATTACAACTGTGTGTGTACTTGGGGAACGCTCACCAGACAGTATGCAATCAACCTGAATGGGCCATTAGGAAAGACAATAGGTCTTTGAAGATGCTGATCTCCCATCTTCCTGGAGTTCCTTCCTGTGGATGTTACAAATAAACCTTGTCTCATGGTTGCTTTAACACTGCAAGGTCATGTGATGATGTCACCTGGTACGAAATACCACCTTGGACACTACTGGTACTTTTCCACTGAAGAAGGGGGATGGGGATCAAACAGGGAAACAAAAGATTCTATTTAAGGCTGGAGAGTGAGTTAATCAAGGTCACTGGTTCTTCACTGAATCCCCACCCAGGAAAACTGCTGTAAACACCCAAGACTGATCTGGGGAGAAAGGACTGGGACCAGGCTGAGACAGGGGTCTAGCCTGTGAAGAGAAATACCTGGAACTCTAAGTGGTAGAAACTCCGCAACCTGCCTAAAACAATATTTAGGGTGAGAAATTACTATTTGTAACCAGTTTCTTTAGTGAATTAAGCTTAGGTTGCATGTTTGTTTATTTTGCTCAGTAGTCTGCTTTGTTCTGTTTGCTATCCCTTATAATCACTTAAAATTCATCCTTTGTAGTTAATAAACTTGTTTTGTTTTCTAAAACCCAGTTTGTGCAATTCATAACTGAGGGGGCAGGGCAAAAAGCAGTGCATATCTTCCTCCACATTGAGGGAGGGGGCGATTTTCATGAGCTTAAAACAATATAATTTTGGGTTTACACTCCAGAGGGTATGGGCACAGGAGTGCTGGGCAATCCCCTAGTTGAGTCCTCCCACAGAGAGCTGATCGCAGACTGTGTGATTCTACAGCTGGGCGTGTTCCTACCTGTGTGTGTACTGGAAGGAGGCTTGAAAGCCTGACACAGCAGCACAGAGGGGGGGGGACCCAGGCTGGTGGGCCAGGTGGGCTCAGTGGGACCCTAGCACATCAGGTGGCACCCCGGAAGGGGGGGGTCCAACCAGTCACAGTAGACTTTTGAAATAGCACCAGAAATTCACTCTGCCCTAAAGAGGGAAACTGCTTGTTATTAGAATCTTGGACATTAAGATTTGTATAGAAAGGAGTAGCAGGAAGTTAATATGTACTGCTGACAAACTACCTTCTTTTCATGGAGCGCTCAGTATTCTCATGAAGAAAAGCCCACACCATTTCCAAGAAACTTAAAGGAAACCACTCCCTCCCAATCTACAATTACAGTACGACAGGCCAAAAATTAATGAGTGTGTAGGTATACAATAAGCAGCCCAAGCAACGCAAGCTAACTACATTGTTCTAATACTAAGCCCCACTGTTCTTTAATATCACTCATTTACAATATATTCAATGCCACTCATTGTTATTTCAGTTAACTGATACCCATAAATCATCAAGGGATTATGACAGTAGAGATCTCTTACCCTCCCCACTTCTCTGTTTCCTCTCCTTGACCAGGCAAAGTGCTAAATAATATAAAACCACCACCTAGAGACAGACCAGATGACATAAAAGGTCTTTCAATCTCTAGACTCTATGATTCCTTTCCTTTTTCTCTTTTCCATCTCACATATCTGTCTTTATACCTCTCCCCTCCCAATTTAGAAATATATTCTCTTTCCTCTGCATCTTCCTTAGAGTTTATTTCCTCTGTAGGCTGCAGCCAGTAAAACTCAGTACATAGGAGGATGGACAGACTTCTAAAGCAACACACAAATGCTGGGTTAATGCAATGTTAAGGTTGCACAGTTAAAAAAGTAAGGAGATGCAAAATGTTAAATGGACACCATCAACATCAGTTTCAAAAAGCAAGTTAAAAGCCTTTTCAGGTATTGCATGTACCCTTGGGTGCCCCCAGATGACGTTGTTTTTCCACAACCCCATTTTCCTATTTAAAATGTTTTTCTCTCTCATGTTGCTATGTGACAGACCCACACAAACAGGGAAACTAACTTGACTACACACAAAGTAAAGAAATATTTTTTCTCTAGCCTCTTTTAATTATTCTTATCTTACAAATTGTAACAATAAAAAGTAAAATGCTTTCAATCAGATGCACATTCTTTACATGGGCTGCATTCCTTCAATTCCAACAGTACTTAACCTGGCCGTAGCTCATGTACTCTCTGAGGCCTGGTCTACACTGGGGATGGGGCGGGGGTAAATAACGTAGCTGAAGTTGACGTACTTAGATCGACTTACCATGGTGTCTTCACCGCGGTGAGTCGACAGCTGCTACTCCCCTGTCGACTCCGCCTGCGCCTCTCGTGGCAGTGGAGTACAGGAGTTGACGGGAGAGCGCTCGGGGATCGATTTATTGCGTCTAGACTAGACGCGATAAATTGACCCCCGCTGGATCGATCGCTGCCTGCCGATCTGGCAGGTAGCGTAGACATACCCAGACAATGCAACAGCATGATGACCTCGTTTCAGAGCCACAGTAACAATTCTACATGGGCCCCTCTCTGTCCAAGTCCCAGGAATCAAGTTGGGGGTCAACTGAGGGCAGGTAAGACACTCAGGCATGGCCACAGCACATTCCACGTGTTCTGAAAGCTATTACAAAACAGGGCAACCTCTTCAAAACACTTTCTAATTACATTGTTCTAATAGGAAAATAACACGTACCACAGCACTTGTGTTAAAGAAATTAAATATATGAATGGGAAAGATTTTGCTCAAATTTTAAAAACAGAAATTGACAAAGTGGAGACCAACCCCTGGATGTTTTCAGTCCAAAAGACGAATGCTTCAGAAAGACACTAGCATGAAAAAACATAGTATAATGGAAACTGGTCCCTACCACTTCTCCCTATTATATTCTACATTAATAGGTTCTTGTAAGTGACATTAATATCAAAGTGACACAAGTGAAACATCCTGGCAACATAGGCTCTATTTCAAAATGAGAAAATATAGTAAAACATTTGCTATATTTACAGTCATTAAAGTAATCAGACTCATCTTACAGATGTTACATTTTGCTAACGGTGCTTTTTAAAATGAGAGAGTAGAATACCTATAAGTTTGTCGTAGTCTACGCCTTTCGCATTGGATGTCTGCACTGTCCAAGGATCTACAAAATCCTCATCCTGTGTAGTAGTTGGACCATTATTGCTTACTGGTGAGAAATCAACTGGAGGAGAACCAGCTTTGTAATCTTGTCCTGTTGCTGTTTTATAAGTCACTTTTAATGACAATAACAGCTTCACTGCTGCATCAATTTCATCCTGAGCAAAGGAAAAACAATTTTAAGATGGAATGTGCTTCAGACAAAGTGTGTTAGTACAGCCTTCCTTCTCCAAACACTAACACACATGCATTGACTTCAATGGGGCTACTCATGTGCTTCAAGTTAAGCAGGATCAATGTCCACGATAAAAGAAAAGGAAGTGACAGGTGGGACAGTTTCTTAACACTCCCTGCACACAAATCGTAAGAATTTACTGTGTAAACTTGGGCAAGTCACTCAAGGCACTCTCTGTGCCTCACTTTTCCATTTGTAAAACAGGGACAAAGATATTTACCTGCCTCACAGGGAAGTGGTGAGGTTTAATTCATTTAAGTATAAAGTTTGTAGATATGCTTAGATAGAAGGTGCTATAAAATTATTAGTTACTCTAGAAATACTCCTGTAGTAGTTATATTTAACATTTTTTAGTTCTTTACACCTCACATAGTTATTTTATGTTCTATATAATTTAATGTTATTGTAACAGCTCATGCATGCACAAACTCCCATTGCTAAGATTTCTTATCCAAGTTTCACTTGAAAAACAAATCTTAAGAGCCCAAAGTAGATCACCTACTGAAATTAATTCTATTTGCACACAGACTGATGACAGGATCAGGTATTTAGAGCCAAATGCTGATCCCACTTAAGTTAACAGAAAATTGCCAAATGACTTCCACAAGACTAGGAGTTGGCCCTCAGTGCACATACACTGAAAACCACATTTCCTAATAGGTATGGTAATACTTTTATACAGTGCTTTGCATCCAAAGATCTCAAAATAGTTTAGAAAGGTCAGTATTACTATCTACATTTTAAAGGTAAGAAAACTGAAATGCAACAAGACTAATTGATTTAAGAAAGGCAACGTAGCAAGTCAGTGGCAGAATTAGACCCTAAGCCTAGTGACTCCCAGTTCCTGCACCAGGAAAACAACTTTGGTCATTTTGAATGAGGTAATATTAATAATTCCGAAGTTTGTATTATGGACAACAAAACATTTTTAAAAGAAAATATTATTTTATTACTGGAATATAAAATAGCATCTCAAGCCACAAAACTGTTCAATGTGTTAAGAGAGAACTAAGCTGCAAAATGGAAAGAGTTCAACAAATGAAATAAAATTACCGTTGATGCTTTCCCTGCTTTCAGTGATCTGACTTTTTCTCCTTGTGCAGTCACTCTTTCAAACAGCTCAAGTGGACTTGAAGAGCAAGAGTCACAGTTCTGAACATCTGCCATTTTTTCTGGAGTGTAAATTATCCCTTTTATTCACAATATAAAGTATTTTATCCAGCAGATTCAAAATAGCTGCAGCAACAGACTGGAGAAGGAGAACTGTAAAGAGATAACCAGGTCATATGTTTTATTTTATTGTAATTTTAAAGACTTCTGTTCAAACCCATCTGAAATAATACTATTTAATTTCACCCATAGTAAGCAATATGTTTGGAGAGTCCATTTTTTCAGCACTGTTCTTCAGAAACCAAAGACACATAGCACAATGAAATCATTTCATAGCAGGAGTTTAGACGTTTGAACTAGAAGATGGGCACTGCTCTGGAGGAAATAAAAATCACAGGTTGATTCATAATACTGTTCCTCTAAATCTATGTATGTGCACTAACTAAACTATGCTGGCTCATTTTATGTTTCAATGTACGTTATAATTCTCCCATCAACACACACAATCTTAAAAACAAACAAACAAACAAACAAAAAACAATGAAACACATCTTGATCAGTGGTTTGAGCATTGGCCTACTAAACCCAGGGTTGTGAGTTCAATCCTTGAGGGGGCCACTTAGGGATCTGGGGAAAAATCAGTACTTGGTCCTGCTAGTGAAGGCAGGGGGCTGGACTCGATGACCTTTCAAGGTCCCTTCCAGTTCTAGGAGATAGGTATATCTCCATTTATATATCAGGTAAGGTTTTAGTTTTCTTTTTCTTCTAAATCTGTTCTTTGTCCCTTTTAATATTTATTTCCCCCCTTATTTAGCGGTAGTCCACAAAAGTACAATGAAGGTGCTTTAACAATTTGCAAAAACAGAAGTTCACATTGTACTGGTTATGCATTAAATTCTTAACTCCCACTTGGTTTTATATGTTCTCTGTCTAAAGGACCACCTGTAAGCGACTGGGCCGTAGGTGGTCTGG